GAATGATAGCTAAAGGACAGGGGTTTCTTATGAGGCAAAGAAATGTTGTACAATTGACCATAGGGATGGTATGTATGTCTGCAAATATACTAAAAACCTCTGAATTATGTACACTTTAAATGAGTGAAATGTATGGTATGTAAACCATAGTTCAATAAAGTTGTTTTTTAAAAAGAGCCCTTGTCCTTTATTTCATTTTTAATTTGCTTCTCTTTCACCCTCCCTTATATTGCTACCATGTGCTGGTTACTGTTTTAAAATATGTGTCGAAACCATCATGTCTTTCATTTCATAAAAGAAGCAAGCACTAAAATAATGCAAAGAAAAGAAGATGTAAGGAAATTTTTCTCTTCCTTCTGAAAATACATCCCAAATGAGATCAGGTTCTACAAAACACGCTACTTCATTAATCCTTTTTAAAAATGAAATTTTGAATAAAGCACATATTAAAGGCATTTCGACCTTTTTGAGATTACCAAGAAAATCTGAATAAAAATTGGCTATTAGATAACAGGAATTATTGATAATTTTGTTAGATGTGATCATTTTTGTCTAGTTTTGTTAAAAACTTTGTTGAGAAGTTCTTACTGTTTATATATATCTTTATTTGCTTGAAAGATATAATAACAAAAAAGATAGATGAGGTAAATATGGCAGAACATTAATAAGTGGTGAACCTCAGGGATGGATGGGTTAAAGGGGGGAAACACTATTTTCTCTTCATTGAGATATATATGAAGTTTAAAAAAAGGGGGGAAAAAGAGTATTATTCTTTGAGGCCAAAGGATATATAAACCACTTTGAAAATCAATTCTAGGGAACAAGGTAGAAAATAAATAAATGGAAAAAACCAGATACATAAATAGTGGTTTGTACATTATAGGCAACATCTTTTATGAAAACCTGTTCAAAGAATAAAAGACATTTCATCAAATCTTACTCAGGTTATATTTCAGTTGTTATATGCCAATAATATGTTTTATTGATATTCAGAAGTGTTCAAATACTAATTCATGGAAGAAATTTTTTTTAAAGTATATATTTTATAATATCACACTAAAATCACTTTAATATCATTGAAATACTTACTCTCTGAGACTTGGCTCTTTGAAATTGATAGGCGTGCACCTTCTTCGCTTTGGCAGCTCTAAAGGTAGATCCTCTGACTTATTTTCAGATTTAGCAGTGTTATTTGAGACAAAATTGGTATTTGTCAAGTCCTGTAGTGTTCTACCACCTGAAAAGAGTATTATTTTCACAAATATTTGTAAACATATAGAGATATGGAACAGATACGGGCTATTTAGTGGTTTGCAAATCACTGGTAGCAAATTTTTAAACTTAACAATAATCAAGTTATAATTTTAATTATAATAGTAGCACTATAATTATTTGTAAATCAGTTTTTCTCCAGCCATGATGTTGTAGCTCACAACATTTTAATTCTGAAATCACATACAGGCTGAGAAAAATTCTTCATGGTTCAACTCTACTTAGAGTCCCACAAATTACTGCCTTCATTCAACATCTGTCATCGAGTGGTCGCTCTGAAAAGCACCATGAAGGATACAGAGATGAACGATGGCTCGCCTACTCTAACATGTCCTGTAATTCTGGACCTTTGCACTTATTTTGCTTCAGTATTTCTTTTACATGGAATAGCCTCATCGGTCAAAATCCTAGTGTCCTCTACTTGAAAAAGATATCTGCACCTTCATGTTCCTACCAGCATTATTTACAATAGCCAGGACATGGAAACAACTTGAGTGTCCATGGATGAGTGAGTGGGTAAAATTGTGGGACATAAATACAATGGAATATTATTCAGCCAGGAAAAAAATGAGGAAATCCTACTATTTGTGACAACACAGATGAACCTTAAAGACTTTATGCTAAGTGGGATAAGTAAAACAGAGAAAAACAAATATTGTATGATCTCACTTATATGTGGAATCTTAAAAACAAAACAAAACCCAAACTCATAGAAAAAGAAACCAGATTTGTGGTTACAAGAGGTAGCGGAGGTTGGGAGGATGAGAAATTGGCGGACGGTGGTCAAACTTCTAGTTTCAGATAAATAAGTACTAGGGGTGTAAACTACAACATGATAACTATAATTGGTAATGCTGTATGATATATAGGAAAGTTGTTAAGTGAGTAAACCCTAGAGTTCTCATCACAAGGAGAAAAAATTTTTTCTTTTCAATGTATTTCCATGAGAAGATGGATGTTAGCTGAACCTATTGTGGTAATCATTTCACAATATGTGTAAATCAAACCATCACGCAGTACACTTTAAACTTATACAGTGATATATGTCAATTATTTCTTAGTAAAACTGGAAAAAGATCCCTGTGCTCCATATGCATATATAGTAAAATGTTAGGCTCCCAATAGAAAATTTTAATTGATATGGGAATGTCTAATGTCACAAAATTTCTAATAATAAAGGAACATCCATAGGATCCAATGTTAAGGGGGAAATGTGAGATAATGTTTTATAGAGTACGATTTCAAGCATATATTTAAAAATCCATAGATTCAAGTCTGCATGTATATGCCAGAATGTGGTGGTTGTTTTTACTACTATTTTCTGATTCTCTACTTTAAATTTTCTACAGTGAGTGTTCTTTTAATAACTAGGAGTGCTCGGCCAGACGTGGCTCAGTGGTTGAGCGTCACCCTAGGATCCAGGCGATCGGGGTTCCATTCCCGGTCGGGGCACATGCCCGGGTTGCGGGCTCGATCCCCAGTCAGGGGCGTGCAGGAGGCAGCCAATCAGTGACTCTCTCATCATTGATGTTTCTGTCTCTCTCTCTCCCTCTCCTTTCCTCTCTCTGAAATCAATAAAGATATATTTAAAAACTAATTAAATAAATAAATAAATGGGAGAAAATGAAAACTAAATATTAAGGTAAAAATCCTACTTATCCTTCAGGTCGCCCTAAAATGCTGTTTCATGATGTCTTTGCAGGTTCCTTTAGGCAAAATTACTCCCTGTTACATCCTTTAGCATAATATGTGTGCTTCTATTAAAGCATTTACTACTGTATTTGCAACTTTTACATACATGTATTCTGAGGGAAGGGAGTTAGTATTATTTTGAATCCTCTAAAATATCTAGAATAATGCTTTAATCACATTAAATATATACTGTTACCAAAGTCCCACTCTAAAGAATCTTGCAATTGCCTTTGATAAAATCAATCTGGCACAATTCCTTATTATATATATTTAAAACACTCAATTACCTTCAAACATATAAAAAAGGAAATTATCTGCCTAATAACATTATCAGACAACTCTGTTGGAAAGGCCAATCTGTTTTTTAGGTTATAAATGTCCAAGACATTCTCACTGTTATCTTTCCAAAGTATTAAAGGTTTCTTTAAATTTCTTCATATTGTTTCTAGGGATCAAGCTACGCAGTTTTTAAATTCCATAAAAGTGGCAGTTATAACAGCAAACACCTTACTAGTTAAATAAGAAAAAAAATACACTTTTAAAACTTGATCACTTCAGGTATTGACCTACCTGTTCCTGATTTTTGTGTTCTCTGGGTGACTTGAAACTTCATCCCTGTCATCTTCTCCTGCTCATCATCACTTACAAAATTTTCTTTTATTGTTAGATTTTTACCAGAAGAAATACGCAAAGGTCTTGAACCCTCATGGACACTGTTAAGGGAAGAATCTTGTACGTTAGGTGAATAGATCTGAGATAAAGAATTAAACACCTTTGTATAAAAGTCTGGCTTAATTTTCTCATTTTCCAATTTTTTTTCAGTAGCTTGTTCAGATTCAAATGATATTCTCTGACCGGTGTCAGATATTCTCTGCTTTACTTCATGGCTATCTGGAGAAAGATCTATTAGCGTCTTCCTTTTCTTTGATTTGGATGTCACTTTACTTCCTCTTTTAACCTGGCGCTCTCCTTTTATCTCTTCCACAAAGGGGAGGTCTCTTTCCTTATTCAGAGCTGTAGTGCTCTGCTTTGGATTCTTACGTGGTTCCACTTGGTTACCAGAATCAGAATCTGCTTCATTAGTAACGTGTTTTAAACCCGATTCCAAGGGGAGAGAGGTCTGTGAACAATCTGTTAACTGAAAAATAGGTTTGTTTTTACCTTTTGCCAAAATGTTCTTTGTCTTGCCTGATGATTCTTTCCCATGCTTTTTAACTTGTTTGTAAGGATTTGAAATTTGCTCACAATTTTCCTTTTCATTATTATTGATTTCCATACCGTAGCCACTGATAATACCTTGGCATTCAAGTCTCTGTTTAGATTCATTTATTTTAACATCGAGATCTTTTGTATAGATTTCTTGGCCATGCCCATCGTTATCATTATCCCTATATATTTGGTACATTTCTGAAATTATTTCTGTCTTCCGATTCACTTTCTGCCTAACGTTATTTATTTTTGAATCATTTTGCTGAGCAGGTTGCATATCAGTTACATGCTTTTTCAAATCCAACATATTCAACGTCTCATAATCATATAAATTTCCATTATCTTTGGTAAAAACATAAGCTGTTCGAAATTCACTTGTGACTTCTGGGTTTTCAGAAATACTTTCTTTATCCTTTGGGGTTAGGGAAAAGAAGTTACTGTTTTCTGGTTCATGCACTCCTTTGTTATTAAACTCACTTATTTGGTTCGTTTCTAAAATTATTTGTGTCTTCCGACTTTCTTTATCCCTAAGCCTCTTACTTATTTTTGATCCCTTTTGCTTTGCAGGTGGCATATTAGTAACCCGCTTCTTCTCCCCATAAATGTTTCCAGCCTCAAAATCACAGAGGTTCCTATCACCTCTGGTGGAAGGATCAACCATCTGAAACTCATTTGAGTCCTCCAGGCTTTCAGGAATGATTTTATCTTTTTGGGTTAGAGAAAATAAGTTACCCTTTTCTGGGTCATGCATATCTTTATCATTCTCATGTATTTGGTTGATTTCTGAAATTATTCCTGTCCTCCGACATACCTTTTGCCTAAGCTCCTTACCTATTTTTGATTCATTCTGACAAGCAGTTTGCATATCATGGACATGTTTTTTCACCCCCAGAATATTTTGAGACTCATAATCAGGTAGGCTTCCACCAATTTTGGTAGAAAGGGCAGGTGTACGAAACTCACCTGGGTCTTCTAGGTTCTCAGGGATGATTTCTTTATCCTTCTGGGTCGGGAAGAAAGGGTTACCATTTTCTGGGCAATACACATTTGTATCCTTAAACAAATTATTCATTTCAGAAATTAATAGTGTCTTCCGATTTACTCTCTGCCTGAGATGATTAACTTTTGACTTATTTTGCTGAACAGGAGACACACTGGTGACCAGCTTTGGCAAACCCAACACATTCTGGGGCTCACAACCACATAGGTCCCCATTACCGCTGGTGTGAAGGGCAGGGTTTTGAAACTCACTTGAAACTTGTAGGTTTCCAGAGCAGCTTTCTTTAGCCTCCTGGGTTTGGATAAAAAAGTTACCTTCTTCTGGGCCATGCACATCTCTATCATTATTCCCATATATTTGGTTCATTTCAGAAATTATTTCTGTCTTCCGATTTACTTTCTGCCTAACCTTCTTATTTATTTTTGATTCATTTTGCTGAGCAGGTTGTGTATCAGCGACATGCTTTCTCAAGTCCAACAGGTTCTGAGTCTCATAATCACATAAACTCCCATTATGTCTGGTGGCAAGGTCAGCTGTTTGAAATTCATTTGTGACTTCTAGGTTTTCAGAAATGATTCCTTTATCCTTTTGATTTAGAAATAAGTGATCCTTTTCTAACTTATGAATTACAAATGTCTGTCTAGTTTTATTTTTATTATAAGTCAGAGAACTTTGACCCATATCAAATTTACTCTCCTCCTGGAATTTATCTGAACTTTGGGAGAAAGAGTATGCTTCCTCTTGCCCATTTGCTACATGTATTTTTTTCTTCTTACTATTCTCTGTACTTTGTTTGTCATCCTGATTGAAGTCATTATGAAGGACTATTGTCTTCAGCTTGTACAACTGAGTCAGCTCTTCAGTACTGAAGATAGAATTTGGATCTTCTGAATCCCCATTGTCATTCAGGCCAACAGGTCTTTTTTCTGGTTCATTTTCAATCTTTTCCTCAACATTCATTTCCGAACTATTTTTAATTTGTTTCTTTGATCTTTTTCTTTTTTTTTCAGAGCTTGAATCTTTCACTTTTCTGAAAGTTTTGATTCTACCGTCATTTGGTTTTTTATGACTTTTATTTTTAGTGCCTGTTGAAACTGTAACAATTTGACTTACTACTTCACTAGCAGTTAAATCCATGTCAGCATCATACACAGTTTTCTGCCCCTGAAAGTCATCATTATCCTGAACTTGATTCATGCACTCCGCAGTAGGTTCACTTGCAGACTCAGATGAGTCAGGAAGGCACTGTATGTTTCTTTGCATTTTAATATTCAGTTCATTAGTACAATCATTTATCTCATTATTCCCATTTAATTCTGGACTTGAAATCCCTTCTTGATTTAAATTTGTCACACAAGGATTGTCTTCAGAAGGATTATTTGATTCCAGAAATGATGCACGCCTTTTCCTTTTAGTTATGTTATTAAGAGATGGTTCCTCCTTTCTGTGGCTGATAGACTGGGAATTTTTCATCTCACTCATTAGAGAACTCTTGGAACTTTGGTCCGAGTGGGAACAGCTTTCTATAAAATAAAGGGAAACAAAATTCAGAAATAAGTAATGACAGGTTTATTATTTTAAACAAATTAGATTAGAAATCAAGCTATTTTATAGAGATGATTTCTAACAATGTGTTCTGTTCAGATACTTTCATTATAAAGAATCTATGCTGATAAAAAATAAAGTAGAAATGATGAGAGTATTCATAAATAACATTTTACATTTGCATCTATGGAGAATATATACTGAGAATTCACTCTGCCTTGGCCCCAACAGTAGAGTATAGCCAACAGTGGAGCCATTAACACATATTTCTAAAGTAGAGGGGGCCAGCATATAACCCCAAATAACAGTGATAACTCTGATAAAAACAACTATCAGAAGGCTATCAGAAGACAGCTTGTTTCTATAAATTCTACATGGAAACATTCATATAAATTTTTAGAAAGAAAAAATAATTCTAAGGTCTAAATTCAATATAGTTATAATTCTATATCCCAATTGGAAAACCTATGACAAATACATAAGCCAGACTACATGCACAATTATTTTGAAATACCAAGTAAATAAAATGTGTCATCATTTTCTCTTGCTCAACCATTATGAATGCTCAAGTTTTGCTTTACCACTAATTGGTTATGATCTTGAAAAAGGCATTACACCTACCTAGGCCCCCAATTTTCATATCTATGAATAGGAGAAAATGAAACTAATATAGGAAACGAATATGGTGTCTTCCGATTTATAAGTTAAGATACCAAGAAAAGCTCTTTAAGCCAGCTCATTTCTAAATATTGCTTCCAGAGTAACAGTATTAGGCCACTGTGGACCTGACATTTGTCAGCATATTTACTTTTAAATTAAATTTTTCACCAGCAGTTTAAAATAGTAGAAGTTAGCAAATCTGTAACATATGAGATATAACTTATTAACTGTTTATATACCAAAGCTATCAAGAAGAAAATCTGATGAATGTAACTATTTAATACTGACACTCGAAATGAATTTTTAAAAACATCTCACCTTTGGGAAGTAAATCAACAATAGAAGAAATAGGCTCTGAATCATCTAAACCACACACATTTTGATTATTTTCTTTAAGACATAACAATTCCAAATTATACTGAGTTGATAAAGATTGTCTTGTTGATACTGAAGACGGAACATCAGGTGATGTCATTGATATAATATTGTTGTCACATTGTATTTTCTCTTTATCTTCATCATCATCATCATCATTTGAAGTTAATGGAACCCTAAAGGCAAGTGGGAATGAATGAAAAATTTTGTATTTTACAAAAATTTAGAAAATTACATGGATAGTTGTTTCTGTATTCTATTTATTTGAGAACTAACCATAAACCCCCTCTGGTAGCTTTTTGTGTTCAATGAAGACAATTATTGGTAGGAACTAGGCAGTGTCTAATAGTACAGAACTTGGAATAAAACAAGAATGCTTATCTTCATAACCCCAGTGGTCCCAAAAGGAGATAACTGATATAATCACTGGTAGGGCTATTAGGGTAATAATAATGAAATAAATAAAGTCCAAACATACTTTTAAATACACATATGTAATATTTATAGTTTTCCTATAATTAATTCTATGGAATACTCAAAACTCTTCCTCTGGTTTCAAACAGGTACAATTGCATGGAAAGTTATGGGTGAGATGAAGTTTGCTGTTTCCAAAAACATCCATGTAAACTAAAGCCATATTCCTAGAGCAGTTAAATCTATAGGGGTGGGGGCAGGGGAGACACAGAAACCCACAGAAATAATTTGATAAACTGGCCTCCTTGAATTCAAAGAATGAGGAGTAATATCAAAGAAAGGGAGAGGGGGCCAGCAAATGAACCCAAATAACTGATATTTTCTAGTTCTGGTCTACTACAAATAGTGCTGCCATATATATGCCTTTTGAAATGTATGCACATATTTCTAGTAGAATCACTGGGTTTACATATAGTATTTGGCTTTAGGAGAAACTTAGGGCATTCTTATTGTGTTCCCATTACTTAACATGCTTGCTCTTGGGTTTTGCAGGTTTTCTTTATCAGATTAAAGAAGTTCCATTGTACTCCTAGTTTGCTGAAAGATTTTTCATAAATGGCTGTTGAATTTTATCAAATGCCTTTTCTGTCACTATTGAAAAGATACTACTTTTCTCTTTTTTTCCTATTAATGTAATGAATTTTCTTAATCTCAATCAAAATTCCAGAAGAGAATGTGTATGTATACACGTGCATTATGTAAATTGACAAGTTGATTCTAAAATTCACATGGAAATGCAAAGGGTGAATAATAGGGAAGATAATATTCATGAACAAAAACATAATAAATGAAATGGAGATCCACACTATCAAATACCAAGACCTAGAAAAGTGAGTTCAGAAAGAGACGTATACACATCAGGTCACCTGACTTATGATATAGATGATACTCCAATGAGGTGGAGAAAAGATGGTCTTTTCTAAATAAATGGTGCAGGTCAGTAGGATTTCCATATGAAAAAAATAAATTACAACCTTTCCCTCACATTATACCCCAAATTCTAGGGGTATAAAGATCTAAATGTGAAATGGAAAAAAATAAAGCTTTTTAAAAAATAGAACACATCATGACCTCCCAATTAGTAAAAATTTTCTTAAAAGGACACAGAAAGTAGTAACCATAGGGAAAGGGGGATTAATGAATATAACTATATAGATATATAAAATGGATTTTAAAAAGAATTCTGTTCATCTAAAGATCCAATTAAGAGAGTGATGAGGCAAACCAGAGTAAAACATTTGTAATGTACAAAGAATTTAAATATAATGTATTTAAGAACCTACAAATCTTTAAAAAGTGATAAACAATCCAATAAAAAATGAACATATAAACATGCTTAAATTCATTAATTATCAAAAAAATTAAAATTAAAACTTCAATGTAATACCAGTACATATCCCCCAAATGGCTAAGATGAAAGACAGACAATAACAAGTGTTGTTAGAGATACAGGACAACAGGAATACTCATATATTGCTACTAGAAATATAAATTGGTATAAACCCTTTAGAAAATTGTTTGCAGTGTCCCTTAAAGCCAAATACTATATGTAAACCCAGTAATTCTTCTTCTAGGTACATACCCAACAGAAATGTGCACATATATTTCTAAAGGCATATACATAGCAGCACTACTTGCAAGAGACCAAAACTAGAAAAAAGGTAAATGTTCACCATTAGAAAGATGGAGAAATTACTGTATAACCAGTCAATGGAATACTACCATAGCAATGAGAATAAATGATCTACAAATCCATTCAACAATAAAGATAAATCTCACAAGCATAATGCTGAGCAAAGAAACCAGAGACAAAAGTCCTATCTACTGTATGATTTCAATATATGAAGTTCAAAATTAGGCAAAATTAATTATCTATGATGTTAGATGTCAGAATAATATTTATCCTTGAGTAGGTGCTGAGTAGTGAATAGAAGTCCAAGGGGGTATTTGAGGTACTACTGGTAACATTCTGTTTCTTGGTCTGGGTATTGGTTACACAGCAGTGTTCACTTGTAAAAATTTACCACATTCTAAAGACTTTTACACTTTTCTAACATGTATATTATACTTCAAACAAAAATCTACTTAAAAAATACAATGAAATTTTATAGAGGGCAAGTCTGACACTTCATTCGTATATTCTTATGAAGCAATGTGTGTATGACAGCTAAGATATTCTTGAAAAAGAACTAGGAAAAGGAACTACAAGGCACCAAAATGTACTATTTTAAAACTACAGCAAGGAAAAGGTACTGGTGAAATGTAATGTCATTACAGCATAACAGGCAAAACAACGCAGCAAACTAGAAAGAACAAAAAATAGCATAGTATATATAAAAATTTTTACTATGGTACAAATAGCATTCAATATATAAGTACATTTACTTATGCACTTAAATAAAAGCAATAAACCTTTAAGTTATATAACTGAAAGAACATTGTCTATGAGGCAAGAGGATTTTAATCAATGCCATTAATTCATTGAGTCATTCTACCTCTCTGGACCTCAGAGACTGTCTTTATAATGACAGGTTTGAAATAGGTGTTTACTATGACTTATAATCAAATTAATCTAGAAATAGGAATTTTGGTTAGGAAAATAACAACAGTGAAATTAATTTTAAAGCTTGGGCAGTATGCAAGTTAATAAAGGTAGAAAAATGATCAGATTTAGCCAACAGAAAACATGAGGCCAGTGGTGACCTGGGGAGAAAAGAAAAAAAGAACTAAAGAGTAGTAGGACATTACAGATGAACTTAGCTATTGAATGAGGGTAAGGTTCTTCTTTTTTTTTAACCCTCATCTGAGGATATTTTTTCCATTGCTTTTCAAAGAGAATGGAAGGGGGAGGGGAGAGAGAGAGAAAGAGAGAAACATCGATGTGAAAGAGACACATCGATTGGTTGTCACCCGCACATGCCTGACCTAGGTCAGGGATCGAACCTGCAACCAAGGTAAGTGTACTTGACTAGAATCAAACCAGGGCCCTTCAGTCCACAGGCCAACGCTCTAACCACTGAGCCAAACCGGCTAGGGCACATGAGGGAAAGTTTCTTTGGAGCCCTGAAGATACAATCTGAGCAAGACCTAAACATTATATAACACACACAATTATTGTGTCATACACAAATCTAAGTACTCTGAACCAATATAATCTAGACTGATATAACTAAAGGTCCATCTGTGCCTCTTTCTTCTCTAGAGTCTATGGGAAACCTGAGTATTATTTCAAAATGTAAAACTAAATTATATTATATCTTCAATTTCTTTCACTCGCACAATGTTAACAAGTATTTCATTATTTATTTTTAAAATGTTTTTCTGTTTCAAGGAAGTGAACCAAATAAAAACTTTCGAAGTCCAACTAAGAAGTGCGCAAGTTAATATTTAACTAAGTTTTGAAGCAATTACCTTGCAAATGGAAGACGCGTTGACTTGCACTGTTTACTAACCCGTTTATCCTTGCTGGCTGGCAACAGAAAAGGACTCTGATGGAACTATTTTTGGGGGGAGAAAATAGAGAAAATGAAAAGGAACAAAATTTCTAATCTCATTAAATCATGTTTGTTATAGAAGCCCCAAATTGTACAAGAATACCAATAGTAATAGAACAATTCTTACATTAGTCTTTAATAGTTCAATGAGAATAATGTGATAAGGTTAAACACAATTCATTCTTAATCATGCCATTCAAAGATAATCACCACTAACACTTTGGTATATAACCTCCCAAACTTTCTTCTATGCATACAAATACATGTGTATAACCACACACATACAATATCTCTACATATACAGTGTTTTTGATTTGTGGTTGGGTGGAGGGACAAATTAACTGATATGTGGATTTTGACTGTGTGGGGGTTGGCAACACTAACTCTACATTGCTCAAAGGTCAATTGTATATGTGCTATGTAATATATTATTGGATTTTATAACATATTTTTATATTACATAATATATATTTTATAGTATATATTTTATAATACATATTTTTAAATGGTCTTTTAAAATTCAAAATCTGGGTGATTTCAATGTAGCTTTAAAATTTTTGCTTATTATATTTGCAAAATTTTCACATTTTCTGGATGTTTTAATTATTTAGTAAAGACCAAAAAATTAGGTTACACACAACCATGTTTTCTTAGTACAGTGCTAACCTGCAATAGAAATGGGTATGGCCAAATTGACAAGATAATTTCAAAATTCACATGGAAATGCAAAGGACCTAGAATAGCTAAAACAATTCTGGAAAAGAAGAACAAAGTTGAAGGGCTGTGATAATTGAGACAATATAGAATTAGTATAAAAACATACAAATATACTTAAATACAAAAGTTAAAAAATAAAACAGACAAATAGAACAATGAAATAGAACAGAGTTCAGAAATAGACCCACATACATTTGGTCAATTAATTTTTGACACAGGTACAAAAGCCAAATGGGGAGCTAAATGTGTAACGTACACCTCTGCTCACTGGTTGTCCTAGGTAGTAAATTTATAACTACACCTCCTGTAATCATTATTCCACAGGGATATTTCCACAAATCCTTTCTGCACAAAAATGTGGATTAAGTTAGACAATAAAGCACCTATTCTTTGGCTAACGTAGTTTGAAACAGTTCGCATCTTCCTACCATAAAGACTATGCATTTAAGAGACTTATAAGTGACTTTTAAAAGTTTGTAAAGGACAGATTTGCAGAAAACTTAGAACACACATACACAATAAAAAGTAATGATAGCTAACATTTATTGCACTCATCCTATTGCCAGAACACATGCTAGCCACATTTAACTCCTACACTAACTCTCTATTCACACTATGCAGATGAGCACACTGAGGTTCAAAGGCCAAGGTCAGAACCAGGAAGTAGCAGAGCTGGGATTTAAATATAGGCAATCCCATTTAAAAAGCCACCCTAGAAGCACTCAACTACCTCCAGAAGCTGTCAAGAAATTTATCTACAATTGGAACTTCACTGACCTTTCTTCAATTTATGTATTAGATATATTTTCCTTCTCATTAGTTATTTCTTCAAAAATTATTTTTCCTATTTAGATAATTGAGTTAATTTCACTCCCTTCCTGATTTTTTTAATTGATTTCATTTTCTTCGTGCTATATTATAAAAGCTTTTAAACTATTAATATTAATGCTTTATCGGCCATATGTTTAATTTTCCCAGGCTGCAACTTACCTTTTATTTTTATGATTTTTAGCCTTTGGTTTCTTTTTGAGAAAATCCACCAATAATTTCCTTTATGGTTTCTATCTGTTTCTAGGTATAGAAAAGGCCTCTCCTCCCAAATGTGAATTCATTTGTAATTTCTTCTCATTTCATATGATTTCCATTTTTTACATTTAAATCCACCTAGAATTTATTTTAGAGAATGATATAAAGTAGGATCCTCTATTTTTTCTCCTATTGTTTTTCACTTTTGTTCATCTTTTTTTTCAAATTATAAAACTTATTTAGAAAATTACAGAGGTAGTAGAAGTGTGACAGCTGGGTTGCATGAACTCAGGAAACAAGTTACAGAAGCAAAAGAAGGACCCTTGGAGCTTAGGAGAGAGAAAGGCAAAGGGAGGAAGAGGAAGAGGAAGCGGAAGAGGAAGGGAAAGGCTCTGTTCCTGAGAGGGAGACCTGCCTGTCCATTTTTAAAAATAATATAAATTCTTTCCTAATTTGAAATACTACCTTTCTACTAATGTCTTTCATGTTTTTTAGTGTTTGGGGGTCATTAGATTCCACTGAGCTGTCTAATCCTGTGTTACTTTTCATTAAAACCTAATTTTCATATAAAAATTACAATAACCAATTATACCAAATAATAATGTTCTGTTAGCCCATTAAAATTAATATTACCATTCATTTGCACAAAGTTTAAGATATGAATCTCTAATCTTGATACTACACTAACCACAATTATTCTCAGTAATGCTAAAAAATTACACTACTTATACACAGTTCTACTTACCTCAGAAAGAGTGCTCATTTCAATTGCAGTTATCAAGTTATTGTTCATGTGTGCTTCTATTTCTATAAGCTTTTTATTCTGTATAAGTGAAAAAACAAAGACCCCTTTTAATCAATTAAGATTTGGAGTCTATTAAACCATACATTTATGAATACGATCAGTTGAGAAGACTTAGAAAATAATTGAGATAACATTGCGCTAAAAACTGAGATCACATTGAGCTAAAAAGGTACTACACTATAGTTCAAATAGCCATTCCCCACCACACACATGCATTTTGAATGCTTTTCAACAATCAAATTTTTCTAAACATTTTTCTATCTTCTTATAATAATAATGCATTACATGGCAAGTGAACATAGTTTGTCGCACAGGAATTTAACCCTCAAGTGTAGAAGGTCATTTTTCCATTTTTTAATTAATTTCTACTTATTTTTAGAGTTACATCTATAGTTGCAGCCTAGCTAATCACTGGCTCTTACTTACTGCCCTGTCTATGGACGGAGTTGAAAATTGGAAAGAAAAGCAACTACAGTTTTCAATCTAATCGGCTGTAGCCAGTGAAATGCTGGGACTATAGGCGAACACACTACGGGAACTCGTCTCCTTTCAATTCACTGGAGGAATTATGCCCATCTCATTAAGATATATTAATGTACAAAGATTTGCTTATAATAAGCACTCAAAGGTTAGTCAAGGTATTATATTGGCTTGCAGAGCCACAAGCACTCATTTAGAATGTAGACTTAAGACACCTATTTTATTATAGTTTTCCCATGAACATGGCACACTCTTTAAATATTTTCACAATAAATCGAAATTTGAAAAAAACATTTAGAGCTTCTATAATATAGTTAAAATTTTAGTTATAAGTTAGAATTCAAACAAAATATAGTTTCCATACCAAATTATTTAGCTTTAGGCGAAGAAACGTGTTCTCAAAATTCAGTTTTTCCACTTCTTTTTGCAATAACATCTTTTCAGTTGTCATTCTTCGCGAATTCTCTTTCTCTCTACTAAGAGCCTGAGCTAATGCCCTGTTGTTGTGCTTTAAAGATATTTTGAAAATAGAAGAATTGTCTGTAAAAAAATGTTAATAGTTAATATATTGAACATAATCCTTAATAAATTTTCATATTCCTTAATAAAACTATTTCAAACAAAATGCATTTCACTTTATAAGTTTTAACCGAAGGGTGGAAAAGAAGAGAAGGACAATACAGGTGTAGTTTTGAAAAAAATGTACTTGGCGTTTGGAACTGAAGAAATAAAAACTAGCTAAGTGATGAACAAAAGATGTGAGGAACGCAGAATGTTTGTGAATACAGAGTTAGGAATAAAAGGACTTTACTATAGACACAGCATTCTAGATAATTAGATCAGTCACAAAAACTAAATCTTGATACCTGCTGCCCTACCTTCCTATTTTCCTTTGACTAGGAGGCAGAATGGAGAAGCTGATCCTGCAGCTCTAACTGGAGATGTACCACAGAAATTAGGGTGGCCAATCTGTGAAAAATTTAACACCAGTTTCTGTGGCTCCAGAATTGAACAAATTAGTTAGTGCTCCCTAAGTCCATTTTTCAAAGCCTTGAGTAAAAGGGAGCATACTTACTCTAATGTTGGATAGATCATCTAAACCCTGAGGAGTATCCTACCTTTTATATGAGAGCATCTACTACAATCTAAACCTGACCCCTCTTCTCTTTACAAGCACTATGCAAACAATTTAAATCAGAAATGCTTTCCTGCTTTTAGGGAAGAAATTTAATTGTGAATTCCTTTGAAAGTCTCACCTTAAATCTAGTGTGCTCCTTTTGTACACTTAAAGCATACTCATATTTTCATAATTTTGATTTACACGCCACTGAATTAAAGTGTAGTATATGTAAAAATGTTTATAAAAGTAGTAATAATATTTTTAAATACTCAGGGAAAGTCTTGTCATCTAAAAAACAGGGTCCAAAAAAGTACTTTATCTTTGGCACAGAGAAAGTTTCAGACAGCCACCTCTGACGTAGCAAATGGAAATAGACTAGAATCAGTTTAGGACTTCCACAAGCTAAAGGATAACGTTTTCTGATGCAGTCCTCAAATCCATATATTCCTTCATAACAGTGGGTATGCAATGGTATATCCCAAGAGAACAGGAAATAGCCTTTATAGGAAGTGGTCTAACATACTACATGGACCTAGAGACCTGGGTAGGAGCAACATTATGATTTAAAGATACTCAGAAGGTATGGCTATTTCACCAGGAACAGAGTTACCCTTCACAGGTACCTCTGACACTCCTCCTAAGATGGGTATGAACCACTGAGACAATTTTCAAAAGTATTGAAAATTTATCTTCCATTTCCTTCCCTCCTTCTCTCCCTCCCTTCTTGCCCTTCTGACACTTTCATTCCAGAATCCATGAAACCTCATCTCTAAAGTGCTCAGTGTCCTCCTAATGAGCTTTGGCTATATAAGATCACCAACTATAGCACTCTATGTGGGCCAACCACCTCTAGATTAACCATCATCCAATTGCTATGGCATGTCAAAACAATCTACCACTTTTTTAGATATTTTCCAGGAATGTCACATTGGTATTTTCCTTGTCATGTAGGAGGTAGCTACCTTAGGCTGCACCAAGCTAAGTGCTGAAAATTCAGCTGTCACCACTGAGGGTAAATCATAATAACCACTCAACTAACAGGAGTTGAAGGAACTAGAAAGGATTGAAAGGAAAAGAAGCATCAGTTAACAAGAATAGTCATTTTCTACACTTGATAAAATAAAGTACCAAATATTCTTTATCAATTCTCCAGGAAAAGTAAAAATGTGAGTATACTTTAAAACCAATGGCACTTACTTATTATTTTGGTTTTGATTTTGGAGGCAAGAGAAACATTCAACTTAGCAGTCTTTGACATTCTTTTGTCTTTCACATGTCTCTTAATTCCTGAGGGAAAAAGTGATCCCGTTTCTGTCACTGGGTACTCCATCACTGAAGAGAAAAGGAAGGAAGGAAAGAAACCATAGTATTGATTAAAAAAGAAAAAAGAGTAACTGATAATACATTCTAAAAAGTAACAATCAGGACAAATGATATAATTTGTTTGTACATACATATTTACAAAACTTTTTGTATAAAATCTGAAAGTATGAATGTAATCAAAAGTGGTACTGCGCCATCCCGTGCTGTGAAAGGTTGCCCGTTCAATTCCCGGTCAGGGCACATGCAGGTTACAGGTTCAGTCCCTGGTAGGGGCCATGCAGGAGGCAGCCCAAGATGCTTCGCTCTCTTGCACTGATGTTTCTCTCTCTCTCTCCCTTCCCCTCCCTCTCTAAAAAAAAAATTAATAAAAAAATTAAAAATAAATGCTATGACTTGCAAATTTATATCCCCGATCAATTCCATACTTATTCATCCAGCTGCCTACTCCTTATCTCCAACTTGAATGTCTAAGACGCACCTCAGATTTAACATGTTCTAATATACCCTCCCACCCCCACCGAAACCTGCTCCACTGTCCTCTCCATCTCACCTAATGGCAACTCCAGCCTTCTAGTTGGTCAGGTAAGAAACCTCTTCTCCCACATCCCACATCTACTCTATCATCAGTCATGGGGTCTGACTTTCACAACACAGCCACATGAGCCCACTTATCACTATTTCTGCGGCTGCCACTCTGATCCAAGTTGCCATTCTCTCTCATGTACACCATTGCTAGCACTGCCTGAATGGTGTCCCTGCTTTCACCTTCTTCCCTGCTATCTATTTTCAACCACATAACAGAAATGACTCTTTTAAAACTTAAGTAAATTCATGTCACTCCTCTGCTAAAAACCCTCCAGCAGCTTTCCATCTTCCTTAAGAGGAAAGTCCTAATCCTTGCAATGGCCCATAAGGTGCTATACGATTTGATATTCCTCCCCTTCCCCAGTTCTCCATCAGCACCTCTCTGACCTCTTCACTACCTTTCCTTTTACTCACTGAGCTCCAGCCACACTGGCCACCTTGGCAGGTTCCCACTGCAGAATTTTTGTATTCCTGTCTCACTTTTCCTCCAAATAAGCACAGAATTGCTCACATCCTTCAAGTCTTTGCTCAAATGTCACTTAAAAAAATAAAACAAAATAATGTATTCATTTCAGAGAGAGGAAGAAAAAAGGAGAGAGAAACATCAATGATGAGAGTCCTTGATCGGCTGCTTCCTGCACGCCCCCCACTGGGGATCAAGCCCGAAACCCAGGCGTGTGCCCTGACTGGGAATCGAACTGAGATCTCTTGGATCCCAGGTCCATGCTCAACCGCTGAGCCACACCAGCCAAGCTCAAATGCCACTTTCTTAGCGAGCTTTTCCAGACCAAACTATTTAAAATTGCACACTTGACTCCATCTCACTTCCTGTTTTCTTTTCCACCACTGACTTAATGTCTAACATAAAATTACATAATTTTCTTATTTAACTTATTGACTGTTTTCTCCTCCTACTAAAATGTAAGTTCCATGAGGGTACAGATTTTTGTCAAATTTGTTGAACAAATTTGTCTGTTAAACATTTGTTGAAGAAATGACTATGGATAAGTGGAATAAATTTCTAAAAATAAAAATTGCCCAATATGGGAATGAGTCTCTTGACAGTATTGAACAGATGTTGAGAAATATCAAGAAAATACTGATAAGATGGTTTTAGAAGAAATTTCTCAATGGGGAAGAAATAGAACTAGAAACCTTCCAACACTAAGGCTCAGCATTTCTTCTAAAAGTTTTGCCAAAAAAAGAAACTAATATCAAAGAAGATCACCCTCTATTCCATAAATAGTAGAACATAGGCACACATGGAAACTCCATGCAAATTGTTGCATCTTACATACCTGAAAGGGATCCTAACATAGAAATCTGGTCCATTTCCAAAAATCCAGTCAGGAAGATCAAATCTCATTTTACTAAGTAGGAAACCACAGCTGAACAGCCCTCCCCAATAAATCAGTTCTTAGTTCCTCAGCTTAGTGAATGGCACTGTCATTCACCCACCCAAATGGTGATGCCAGAAGCCAGAGGCCTTCCTCAGCACTGCCCTGTCGTCTTCCACATGAGTAACCTGAAAACACTGGAGGGGCCAGAGCCAGGCGCGTGGAGGGCGACTCGCCACACAGGGGCTGAGGTAGAGACTGGCCTGTGTGGAGTTCCAGCTCCAGCATTTCACAGCTATGTGATCTTAACGTCGCTAGGTCTCAATTCCCAGATTTAGAAAATTACAGAAAATAAGGGCATCTCCTTGTGAGAGAGAAATGTACACAATGGCTAGCATTGGATCTGGCACCCGGCCAGCACTCACTAATATTACCTAATTATTATTCCTCCGTAGCCCTTCTCGGGGCAGCATCTCAACTCATCTCTAAATCGGAAACCTGTTCCACATCCCACTTCCCTGAATGGGATCCCTTACTTAAAAATAACCTCGTTCCTGCTCCCCACCGAAACACTACTTGCACATCAAGACTCAGCCCAGGCCCCAGGTCCTCTCAGTCTCCCCCGCCTTCGCCTCCAACCAGCGTCCCTTTCAGGGGACGCCCCTCCGGGGGCCCCTCCGGGAGCGCAGGGAAGCGCGTCTAACGTCCGTTCAGCACGTTTACCTTCGCGCCACTGGCCGGACACCAGCCCACGGGGGGAGCAGAGCAGCCGAGGGCACGAGTCCCTTCCTCCAAGGAGCTGACCATCCAGCCGGCGGCTCGCCCCTTCCCCAGCCGGACGTCCAGCCCCAGAGGCAGGAGGCGGCGATTTAGGTGCCCACCAGGGACCCCCCCAACGAGCCCGGCCCAGGGGGCGCGGGGCCGCAGCTCCAGAGCCGCAAGGCGGGGATGGGCGTGACCCAGGGTCGCGCAGGACTCGGCGGACCGAAAACCCAGGCGGACACCGCCGGGAAGTCGGGCCACGGGTCCCGGCGGACCGGGAGCGGCCACACCGAGAGTCACGGATTACTGACCTACCGCTTTTCCAGCGCGGGGAGGACCGCCGCCCGGCTCGG